ATTTTGACGTCTTCTGTGATCTATTACTGAACAGACGCACGGCAACATGGAATCTACTTGTTTTAGATAAAGAAGCAAAAAAATGTTAGTGACGTCATGTATGCGTCTCTTGTCCAATAAATCATGAGTAAGAACCAATCAAAATGCGAGAATAATTTGACTTATATGCTCTGAGGTAGTCACGTGCTTTTTGACACAGCATAATTATTAATAATTAAGTCATTTTTCTCATAATAATTTGTCGGGTTTGCTTAATTTCAGATTGTTAGCCTTAGTTATCCTTTTGAAGGAAATTAGTGCTCTTTATCATCGACGATTTTGGGTCCAAACAAAGCTTAGAAGCAGGTGAGTGGAGAAAAGAAATATTTAGGGAGTAGCGCTATAATGTACGACAAAAAGACTATTTCCAGCCCAGTTGATCCTAATGAATATTGCGAGGTAACACGTGCGCGACGCGAATACACCACGCACGCAAAATATGCGCCCGCGCGAGTTTCTACTGTAGTCCTACAAGTCTTGTATACTCCTCATATATTTAACTGACAGCTTAAGACGAAATCCGATAGGAAGTCAAGCAATTTCAGTTGTTAGTGGACAGAAACCTTGTACCAGAATAATTTTAAGTATATTACTGTCCTTTTTGCATTTTCTAAAAGCTAAAGATATGAATAGTTGCTTGAAATAACACCGAAAATAATTACCCACAGGAACTCGAGAAAACAAAATTCAAAGTTCAGAAAAACTGTCCAAACGTAGGTAAAATTTCATTGTCAGTTTCATCTGGCCAGTATTTTAAGTGTTTCGTATGAACTTCAAAACTGATTTGTTTTCGACATTTGGTGCGGTTAGGAATGTTTTCTTATGAAACGATGTTTAAAACAGTCGCACAGAAGTTTGCAATACCATGTAAAGTAATCTTGGTACAACGTTTTTTTTCCATTTGTTACTCGAACTTCTGGCGGATTCTTTCTTAAAACTTACAACCCTGTGACCACCAATAGAATCTTCTAAGACGAAGACAGGCAAAGATTGCGTGACGAGCCCATAGAGCGTCTGCGTAGGAGGCTAGCTACGGCCAAGGCTGACCTTACTTTTTGTTATAACCAGCACTCTGGTGTCGAGAATGAAGTTTCACTGAAGAAATTTTCAAATGAATTCAACGCGATCGTTCCCCTGTTTTCTCTTATCTTAATGTTTTTCATCGTCAGGCACAATCTTACAAAACCAAGCAGTAATAACTTTTGAAAATTCTTAAGTTTTCTCAAAATAATTTTATATGAAGTCATTTTTGCAAAGTGTCTCTTTTCTCTATTCTTTTTGTTTTTGTTTTGCTAATTTTTCCGCTGGGAGCGTTTGGAGAGGTTTCAGATGTGTGCTTTTGAGAAGGCAACAAACAGCCTTTAATACTTGCTTTGAGCGGCTTATCTGCTAGTTTGCAACTTCTTTCTTCTTCTTAAAACAACATTAACGCACAGTTGATTGGCACGATTCAAAAATAAGAATTTTTTTTGGCATTTTCCCAGAGGAAGAAGTTAGTCTGTAAAGAAAATGTAAATATAAACATTTCATTTTCCCACCTTGAATATTTTGACTTTAATTGTTACCTGTGAAAGGCACTTTTTTCTTTTAAAACTGGAATCTATTTTTTGTTTCGTCTACTTGTCCAATTGTTTGAGAGCTTTTACTGTAAGTGTTACGCTATTAGAGCGGTTTTCAAAGGAGTGTCGTAAAACCAAAGAAATCGCTAACCAATCACAAAGAACAAAGTCAACTCTATGAACCAATAGGCCACGTTCGATATATCAATATTCTAACATGGCTCCGAGGCTTTCGGGTCAAAATTGCAAATTTTTCAAATTTCTTTGATCCGTCAATTCCCCAAAGAGACTTGGATACAAAGAAAACAACACCAAATATGGAAGACTGACTTGAAAGCCTCGGAGCCATGTTAGAATATTGATATATCGAACGTGGCCTATTAAAACTGAAATAGGTACATGTAGCTGATGTACAGCGGTTTTCATTTGGGTGTCGAAACGTAATTGGTTTTGCACTTATTACGCTACACGATTGGATTAAAAAACTCGCGCCAAAATGTCGTCCAATCAGGAGTAAAACCCAAACCAATCGCGACTCGTTCGCACGCGTTTTCCCGCCGCGCTTTGCGTCAGCTACATGTAATTACTTCGAGTTTTGATTGGCTCACTGGATTGTCTGTGTCCTTTGTGATTGGCCAGGGTGATTGCTTTGGTTTTGGTTTTACGACACTCTATTGGAAACCGCTCTAAAGCGCGGGAAAAATGTGCGAACGAGGTACGATTGGTTTTGGTTTTACCTCTGACTGGATGAAAAGTGGATACTTCAAAGATTTGGGTCCAATCATGTGGGCAAATCGCAGAGAGAAAATCAGTCTTTGATTAACCTCTGTATTGCCGAAACTGAATCAATTTGAATTTACAATGGAATAACCAACTCGCATTTATTACTTATGAATTCTATTTATAAATGAGAGAATTAATGTTAAAATCGACGCCCTGACTGCTATTGAAGTTCCTTCAATTTATTTCATCTCCAAGGCGTGATTAACTGCTAGGTTAACTCGTAAAACAGACAATCAGTTTTTTTTTTTTTTCATTGATGCAAGTTTTTGTTGGCTTATTGCGGATTAATTCGGACAGATCGAGTTAATTGAAGCTAATGATCTCCGGTCTCACTCTCGCTCTCCAAGCGGTAACTCTAGGTTGGTCCGTGGATTGTTGATTGGTCTGTTGTTGATTAGGTGGCCTGACTTGCAGCATTTCGTGGTGGAGAAAAGGAATCGCCACGTACAAGGAAGCCGCCAGTGTGACGGTCACAAGCATTGCAGAGTTAGTTGTGGGTCCGCGATAACCTCCGATATTGGCCACAAAGTGACACGTTAATCGGTACTCTGAATAACAGGAACACAGTACAGATTTTGCAGGTGTCCCTGATGACTTTCTTCTCTTGGCGCTGGTGAGCTGAATTTAAGGGACTAACCTCAGCAGAACGCAATTGTTTTACGGTGCGAAAGGCAGTCACCAGTATGAACAAGACAGTTAAAGTGTCGAGTTGTGCAACGACTGCTATTGCAGCGAGGAGAACGCTAGGAAGTCTGGCGACGTTGTTGTAAGGATAAAACTTAATGCATGCAGCGCTTTCATTTCTTATCGCAATGGCGAAGAAGGCAGCAGTAAGCAGAGATAAAATCCAAGTCAGTGGAATGATTTTCTTCACCTTGCTTTGTGTTATGCGTCTATTTAAAGGGCGGAGGACGCAGTCTTGGCGATCAAAGGCCATCAGAAACAAAGTCAGATCTGTGAGCACAAGAAATGCAAAACTTGAAGAAAAACTAACTTTACAAAATACCTCAACTGCTGCCGGCACTTCGGTATTCATTTCAAAGTAGTTGACAGCTGTCACGCCTATTAGCAAAGGCATGTTAGAAAGCGCTGCTAACAGACCGGTCAGAGCCAGGTTGCCGAGCAAATAGTGAGGAGCTTTACGAAGATCTCGTCGTCGTCTTAGCACGATCAACAAGCTAACGTTACTGATTGTCGCCACCAAAATGTTGATTCCAACAAATGTGACGACAAATATTGCCAGTTCTCTTGGAACTCGAGTGGAAGTCGCGCGGTCTGTTGAAAACTCGGCTTTTAAATGTTTAGAGTTATTCATATGAAATGCAATTTTTACCTCGGTTTTTTCAGAGAAATACACTCCGCTTTGTGTTAGTCTAGTTTTTGCTGTAATGGTCCGTTACCTTAACCACACGGACTTACAACTTGTAACTTGCAATCTCAGTGTAATGATGGTAGCCTTATGAACCGAAACATATGTTTTTTTTTTTCGTATCTTTGATTGGCTGTTGGCAAGGTTTTGGAGAGGTTTTAATTGTTACACTTTTCGGGAGCTTAGGAAAATCACGGCGGCATCGGTAACCAGAACGTCACCAAACAAAAGATTTAATGAGCAAAACAATGACTGCGCACGTGCGTTATTAACATTTGTTTGTTTCGTAACTGTCCCCTGCAAAACAACAACGTGAAATGACTAAGTTCTGCGTATTTTAGAGAACACGAACGACGGCGGCTAATTTTTCGTATTTTCATTTGGAATTTAACGCTGGCGTTACATTTTAAGTAAGTTCTGAGACCAATAGGCGCCCTGAACAGCTCTAGACAATTGCGAAATTCAAAGGTAAAATAAAAATTTATTTCTTTTCTAGGCGTTGTCCTCGGGGTCGCCTTAGTCATCGCTTAAGCTCTCTATTGAGATAGGAAGAAGGAAACGGCTGCGTTGTTTTGTTAACCTGTTATTTTACAACACAATTATCAATCTATCGATCAATGTATATTTGTGGCGCGCAATACGCCCAGCTATTTTGCATAAATGTAATTAGCTAGTTTACAGGTTCGCCATTGAAGTCAAAATGTGAACAGTAAAAGTGACAACTGAAAGAGCTGCCTAAATATTTCTTACCAGTGGCAGTCTTGCATCGACCACTCTACAAACTGAATCAGCTGAACGCGATGTTCCGTGTTATTTTCAATCCTTTTTATCGCTACAACCTTACTTTCCGACCGCTGAAAGTTGTTCGTTTGTGAACACTTGAAAATAATGATTCTACAATTACCTCTTTTTTGTGAAGCGTTCTTGCTCCAATTGGCGTTGTTTTGTTTTACTAGTTTTACCGCTGGGAGAGCTTGGAGAGGTTTTAGATGTTTTTGGTTTCCTTTTTCATTTGCCAAGTTGAAGACGTTACAAGATGTTGATCTGTACGATAGATGTAAACATTTCATTTTCCTTGTTTCAAACTTGAGTCACTAAAGCATTTCTTCATGTAAAACTCTTTGTTCCAAATTTGATGTTTGGGTGTTCTGAAAGCTTATAGCCGTTTTGCTGCTAAGAACTCAACACAGTAAGTAATATTTTCTAGACAAAGTTGAGCACGATGGCGTGAATTATAGAGCGTGTTTTGTTTCTTCTGTCGAAGACTAAAGCGCTAGGCACAGTCTAAAAGCTTTGATAATTCGCTCTAAGGTAAAAAACCGACCCTAAGGATTGCTAATTATACAATTGAAATACTACCAACGTTAAGTAGGAGTGGCTGCTTTGTATTATCCTGTTATTTCTCTGAATGGATGATGCAAATTTAGTTTCTCCTAAAAATATCATGCATTGTGAACTAGACAGGCGAAGAGAATACAAAAACCGATCAACCAGGGGACATTGTGTTATGTACTACCAAATTCTTTGAACTAATTCTGAAAGAAATGTGCGGCAATCAGTGAGAGGAGATAGGAAATTGATCTCGGCTCTAACGTTTCGTTAGCTTAACACCCTGGAATTAAAAATGAATTTTAAACTGCCATCTGAGCAAACTTTCAATCGCTAAAAACCTGATCAAACAATACATTCCGCGTTTTGGTAAGTTTAATTTGCCGTTGGGAACGTGTGGAGTGGTTTTAGCGGTTACACCATTGAGAAGGGAAGACTTTAATAGCTTCTCTGTGTATCTTAACAAGTACCTGCTGATCAATTGTTGGATTCCAATCACTGTCATAGAAGATAACCAAAAGATTGACTAACAGTCAATCATTTTGTTTATGTTGCTCATTATGTTTGGTAGTTTACAGGTACACCAAAATTAATGAACAGTTTACCCAATCTTTCGCTTCTTTTCTCGTATCTCGGTACCTTTTCATTGCCATAACCTTATAATCCCGACCGTTTCTTTTTATTCATCCCAGATCCTAAATCGTAAGCGTTCTTCTTTAGCCGCCGGGAGTTTTTTTGAGATGTTCTAGATGTCGTACTTTTGAGAATGAAACAGGTTAATACCTGCTTTGTTTGCTGGCAACTGAACATAGCGTTCGTTTCGCTTGTTTTTGTTTCCGGAAATATGGATTGCGTTCTAGGCTCAGTCGGTTAGATAAGAAAAATTTCTGACCTGCAGAAAGTTGTTGGAAATTTTAAACGGCATTTTAAGCCTCTTACTAAAGGTTACACTGCTTTCTGTATTTTTTTTTTCTGTGGCAGGTGCTTGGGCCGGCAAGATCTGATACTGTGGCCGGACTCCTCAATTTCCTATCCAAGTATCCAGTCCAGTTCAATTCTTCCAGCCCTGGTATTCACCGGTCACACCATGAGGGTGTCGTCTCACCTGACACATCAGGTACAACCCATCTTGGACGACGATGATCATAAACCGCTGAGAGGCAAAACGAAGGAGGCCTCGAGAGGAACACGAACACGACGGACATCAGGCAGTGCGGTCTCCCCAACCTCCCCAACAAGGAGAAAAGATCCGCGACAGAGAGGCCACCATCCTCCTCCTCCCACAGTCACATCCCCAACTACAAAGCTACCTCCATCTCCTCTGAAACACTCCCCAACGGGGGCCTTTTCCCCCACTAAACATTATGGACACTCGTTTCCTTCGACACAGCTCTCGCCAAACAGACATCACCATGGATTGCCAGTGTCTCCGTCCTGGGCGCATCAGCATCCTCACGGACCCCTCCCTGGAGAACTTCAGATGGGAGAACACCATCCCTCTTTGGGACATGTTCCATCCATGCACCCCGGTCAGGTGTCCCCTATGATGCATTCTCCTACTGGGCACGGCCGCACTTCCTTGCATTCCCCGACGGGACATGCTGCGCCCCCATTGCACTTTCCCCCAGGACAAATGGCTCCTCCTCACCCATCAGTTCATCCAGTGCAGCCTTTCTCTCCGACGAGGTAAAAACTAGAAAATTTTATTTCTTCCTTCAAGATTGCAATTCTACATCCTTTGTACTAAGTTTAACTGTTTTGTTTTTGTTTTTTTGCTTGTTCACACTCCAGTAGTATTTTGGATGTCTTGAATGTAGTTACCAGACGTGCTTCCCAGCCCTGTGCATGTTTGCAATGTCTGTTTAGCGGTCATAATCCTAATACTACTTGCCTACCGTGCTTTGAAATAGGGAGCTTAAGCAAACCACCGCCACGACGGCACCGAGAACGTCACTAAACAATAGGTTTAATGAACAAAACAATAGCTGAGCACTTGCATTATAGACTTTTTACATTTCTTTGCCGTCCGCTGCAAAACAACGTGAAATGACAAAGTTTTGCGTCGTCTACGGATCGTGGACGACGACGGCTAATTTTTCATATTTCCATTTGGAATTGAACGCCATGGTTGCATATTTAGCTTAACGTGGCTCTCTAGAGTATTTACGAACACCCTCCCTATAGAGCGCGAGTTAGAAAAGGAAACTTAGTTAATTTCTGTTAAAGTTTTTCCTGTAGAGATTTACCAGTATGGGTACTGTTAAAATAAGACTTATGTTTTGTTTGTCAGTTTTTGGATTAAGGCCGTTACCATGGCAAGATCTCATCTAAGGACAGGCAGATGTATTCCTCATTTTGGCATAAGCTCCTTAATATTTAAGCTTTCCTTCGGTGAAATTTTTTCATACTTTGCCAAGTCATGGAAATGATATTGCCTGACATTTTAAATTGGTAAAAAGTCAAGGTTGTTCAGACGGTTTTTCCAATATTCTGTTATTTGTCATTCTTCTAAATATATGAGATTAGCTATGACAGATTTTACCAAAATAGAGTATTTTATAGGAATTGTATGTGGTTACAACTGAGCCGAATTTTAAAAAAATTCACCGAAGGAAACGCGAGAAAATTCACTGTCAGTTTTGCTTTTTGTGCTCATG